CAGGCGTCTGCTGGGCGCTGGCCAGGTGGGTGGTCGCGGCTGCGTCCTCCCGAGGCGGCGGGAAGCGCCTCCTCCAGCGCGGGCACTGGCGCCTCCCTCCTCCCGGGCTCCCACGCAGTCAGCGCCTCCTCTCGGGGCCTCTTGTCTCCTCAGCGCCCCCCACCGCACACTCCCACGGGGAGCCCCACCCACAAGTCTCTCAGTCCCGCGGCTGCCGGCCGGTCAGCGCCCAGCCCAGCCCGACTGGCCCCGCGCACGCCGCGCCACAGGTGCGCTTCGAGGCGCCGCGGCTTCCCGGCGGGCGCGAGGGGCGGGGCCCGGCAACAGTAGTCTGATTGGGCCATCTAGCGCCAATCAGCTCATGGCTCGCACCTGATTGGCCCATCCCACCCAGGCAGGGCGCCGCCCCACCCATGGTCTCGGAGGCTCGGGCGGCCACCAGCCACGCGTGCGGGGCAGCAGGGACAGAGCCGCAGGCGCGGCCACCACGGGGGAGAAATGCGCCAACCTGCACCAACAGCCCAAGACCTGACCGGGCAGCAAGCACCTCCCAGGCTCCGGGGCAGCAGCCCCCGTCCGCCAACGTCCAGTCCTGCAGAGGACGAGTCACTGAACGCCTTCACCTGCGGGCGGGCGGCAGTGACCGCCGCGCGGGCGCCCCCACGGGCCTCTCTGCCGAGCTCCGCGGCCTGAAGCCTTCAGAGACTTTCCACAGAGCCGCCTCAGGGCACCTTCCAGACCCGCCCGAGGCGTGTCCGCAGCAGGAAGCCCAGAGCGACACTGGCTGGGCCCCGCCCGGCCCCGCCCCTGGGCAAATGCCCGCGAGACCCTGAGGAAGCTGGGGCCTCCCCAGCAGTGGCTGAAGCGGGGTGACCCCGAGGGAAAAGCCCGCCAGCGCTGTCACCACGGCCCCAGGGCCCGCCCACCTGCTGGCCTGCTGGCCGGGCTCCCAAGCCGGACCCTGGCGGAGGCAGGAGTGTGGCCCCGGGCAGGCCTCATGCTCCTCAGTAAAGTCTTCGTTTAAAAATAGGCCGGAGAAGTGTTAAGCTGCCGCGGGTCAGCGTACAGGGTGCGCTGAGGACAGCGTTTGGAAACACGCGTCTTGCGCGTGCCCCGCTGAGAGACAAGGCCGCCCGCTGGGCTTCCTGCGCGCCGCAGGCCTGCTGTCCCAAGCAAACGACTTACAGCAGGAACAGAGAAATCCACAGTGACTCCTCCAGGGCTATAATTCTCCGCAGCGAGCGTTCAGACGCTTTTCTGAATGGCAGAAATCAGCGTGTGTCACTGTAAGCTGTGGCGTCGCCACCCAGTGCACGCTGGTGCCCGAGAGACCTGAGCAGAGTCTGGGCCGGGCAGCTGAGGGCCAAGCCAGCAGAGGCTCCTCTGGCCCACCTGTGGCCAGCTGATCTCTTGGATGGCATCCACCCCAGGGACATTTCCCCAAAACAAACCCTTTAAAGACAATCACAGGACACTGTAAGTCAGGAAAAACAAACCAACAAGAAAAGACCCAGAAAAAACCTCTAAGTAAAATCCATTCAACAGGAAATGACCCAGCAAGAGAGCTGGTGACATCTGAGAGGCGCCCCACCCAATTCCAAGGCGCCAGGTGACTCAGGCCGAGGCTCCGTGGCTGGGGGCGGCGAGCTCTCAGCGCCTCGCTGGCCGCCGGCGGCTGAAGCAAGCGCACAAGCATGCGGCGTGGCGCAGGAGACGGCCCTTTGCTGACCTCACCCCCCACACACGCAGAGAGCAGTGTCCGGGCGCGTGCCCGGGGTGGGCTCCGCGGGCCGGAGGCGGCCGGCAGGCCCAGCCCTGGCCAGCAGCTCTGCTCCTCGCCCCTCCCCACCCGGCACCCACCAGACGGAAGGCGCCCTACAGAGCGCGGATGCGCCCAGCCCGGGCACGCCCCACTTCCCAGCAGCTCTGGCTGCTCCCACTCCCCGGCCTCCACGCGCTCCCGTGAGTGCCTGCACACTCACCACTCGCCGCCGCCGGCCTCTCCTGACCCTTTGGCAGGACCAACCCCGCCCCCTCCCATCTTTGAGCAGAGGCAGAAAATTAGCTGTCCTGGAAACTGAAGGACAGCGGCTTAACAAAACCTAACAAAATACAAAGACCACAGCAGCACACCCAGAAGCACGCTCTGATGCGCGTGCCCCCACGCAGCAAACCAACAGAGCCGTCTCCGAGACAGCCGACACCTGCTTCGGAGCCAAAGAGTCTGGAGTAACTTGGAGAAAGCCACACATTTAGGCATTTACGTCTGTGAAGCCGCGCCTACTCTTACTGGGGTTCGTGTGGCCAGTACAGTGTCAGCGTTTCGAGTAACACTAGGTTTAAGTGGAAATGTTCACCCAGATCCCCACTCATGACCCCACCGCCTGCACTGTTCTTTGAATCACGAACGCCTCAAACTCGCCTGAACACTCGGGCGAAACCAGCACCGCTCTGGCTGGAGTCCGCCAGGTGCAGTCGGGCCGCCGCGGTCGGCAACTGCTCACCTCTTCCACTTCTTATTTTCAAGTGAAAGTCATGCCCGTAACGTTTCCAATACCATTCCCGGAACGGCGTTCGCACGCGGGCGGCCCCCTCACGTCCACGGTCCCAGTCAGTGGCTCCGTTTCGTCAGCCCGTGGCGCTAAGTCCAGACTGACTGCTGGCGGCGGGCGGACAGCCACGGCCGTCGGGGAAGGGGCGCGGCCCCTCAGGCCAACGCGGCCCTGGACCTCGTCATTTTCCATAAAAAGTTCTTCGTAGGACTGAGAGCAGTTTCACGATGGCGGATGAAAACAACTGAGTGATGTGCTGTAAGCATACTGTGTGTTTTCAACTCGTGTGTTTAAATAATTTGCAACTGAGTTGAGTTCTGTATTCTCCCACTTTGAGGTGTAAAATGAAGCTAACATTCACCTGGACAGAACCGCTACTA